GAATTGGGCATGGAAAACAGTACTCTCTTCGGCAAACGATGGTTCGGCATACGTAACACATGTCCCAACCAACGCAGCTTCTGGTGCTGGGCACATTCTTCAATGGAAGTACCCTTTACACAACCAAAAACACGCTTTCTAACTGTCTCGTTACGGATTCGCCGACACCAACCCACACGAGCTATGGTTTTCAGACATTATGCGGAAGCTAAAGTATGATAGGAGTGAGTTTTCAAGCCCATGTGTTTGGTTCAGGATCATCGCTAACCACCACGTCCTGCCGATATGCCTCAATGTATCAACTCTATATAGATTCCAAGAACAGCTGCTTTAAAGGGTCGTCGTTTTGCCTGAAATTTCCAAATCTTTGTCACTGATAATAAAAACGGAACTGCTTAAGGAAGCCGCTTTTTATCCTTAGGCTTACGCAACGGATAGTAGTTACTCACAATGAGTTTCCCGGTCGACTGTCAAGTGTTCGTTTTTGGTGACTGATATCTGCTAAGATCTTCGGTTCTCCGTTCAGTCACATGCGTTTCCGGTTTTCGGTAAACTGACTTCTTATCTGGAGCATAGCGACGGCCTTGCTATCCGATCGTGCTCTCCCTCAAACTGCTTCTGGCCCAAATCTCTCAAGCCATCCCTTGCCTCGAAACAATGTGACGTTGGCTTTCACGCAGTGTTCGCGCATCCTTCTTTCGAATAGAGTTAACTGTGGATGTATCAGTCATTTCTGTTCACCGAATATGGCAACAGGGAGTTTTGTTACATGGGAAATTAAGGCCTCGCTGCTCTCCATTGAAGGCCGTTTGGTTCCTAATTTTCAGAAGATTTACCTAATTTAATTTTTCAACAGATGATGATTGAGTCATCACATGCCCTTTCTACTCGGTCTGTTCTTAGAATCGTTGGGCTCATTGTTCCGGTCGATGTTTTTGCGAGTAGATTTCCGAGTCAAGTTTTTCACTTTTGGTCTCGTTGATGCACGCCTTCTTCCAGGGGGGCTATTGGATATCGGATGAAATAGTAATTGGCTCGGTTATTTCCTGAGACAGAAGTCCTCTTCACTTAAACAGTGACCACTTTCCACCAGAATTCTCGAGCTGTCCCCAGACTCTTCCTTAATAGGGGTATGATGAATCAGCGTGCGCCAAAGCACCTGTTGATGAATCGGCACACAGCTTGAGAAGCCGGTCTACGTTATCTGTGTGACCTCAGATTGACCGCCCGGATCCCACAGAGTTCAGGAAACCGGCTTTGGGTTGCATGGATGAAACTTTAATCAGGTTCTTCTTAGAAAATAAGCTTGGGGTCAATTTGGCAACCCCACTCTGTTGGTAGATATCTAAACATTTTGGACAGAAGCCGATTTTTATAATGAATAACATTGAACACAGATGGGCTGACGAACATATTTTCGGCAAGGTCTTTTCGAACATATTTCAAGGTCTTTTCAGGTCATACAATTGCAAAGGTTAAGAGAGTGGCATTTAACATATTTGAATGAGTATGGTGTAAATGGATGGACGATCGACTGAGATGACATTGGCTACCTATCAAAGAACCATTAGTTTAGGTCGCCAATAGGATAACTTGAGCTAGTCAGCTCGGGGGGTGTTGTAGTTGTGTGTTCAGCACACGTACATGTGTGGGGGGGAGCTGAGTTGGACCATGGTAAGTACAACACAGGAACAAAGCGTTTTTGCCGACAAAGGATCGGGTCGTGATGTCGTATGACGATAGCTTCAGCCACTGCAATTGTGCGCTGCTGTACCGATCTGGATTGGTCGCCATACGATATCGCGACCCGATACTTTGTCGGCAAAAACGCTTTGTTCCTGTGTTGTACTTACGACGGTCCAACTCAGCTCCCCCCCACACATG